ACTTTCACTCAGGAGCCCAGTGTTTGCTTCCTGTATGAACGTAGCACCAAACCATGATGTTTGTTGTTGCTGTCTAACCCTAACCATGTTCTTTTGCTGACGTGGCCTCCTGAACGTCAACAGCAGACACAGGAGGATATCTAGCATGTAATACGTAGGCATGAAGGGTCATTGACAAAGCAGCAATATGTGACGACTCAGGATGAGAACGTGTCAGTGTTGTATTTTCCTGGGTTTTAAGGCTTTTAAGGTGATGTCATTTCCTGAACTTACCAAACTGCTCTAGCCGTTCTATTATTTGCCTTTACCCACTCAGTCACTGTATCCACATTGTTGATGATCATTTATTGAAAACTCACTGTGTAAATATTTTGTGAAAGAACCAATAGTCAACTCTACAATGTCACTGCAAAATCAATATCACAGTATTTGGTCAAACATATCATATTTGATTTCCTCCGTATCGCCCTGCCCTAATTTAACACTATCACAAAATACTGGAAAAACCTGATTCATTTTTTCATCCCTCTTAAACAGAAGTCTAAACAAACTGGCACTCAGCTGTGCTGCTGGAGGGATGGTGGAGAAATCTGATCATGCTCATATTCTCTGGTCCCTCAAGTCAGACCTCTTGAGAGGAAGTAGCAACAGTCATTTCAAGAACTTTCTGTTTTAGCATTAGTACAACATTCACATCTTTACCTTGGACAGATCCCCGACAGGTTAAGTAAGGATAATACCTACCTAAAGATCTTGCTGACAGCAAGTAAAAAGGTTACAACAAAATACAGGCTCCAGAAAAACTGTCCTACTGCTGGCCTTTGTGTCAGAATAGGTAAACACACACACATGACCTACTTTATATAACTTCAAAAAGAACTGGGAGGAAAACAGTGGAGAAAGTGGTGTTCTTACTAATCCAGCCAACAAGACAAATTTCTCAGAATTACTGTGAGATATCGGAATTAAAATGAGGAAAATATGCCTTGACTTTGTAATAATCACGTTTGCTTATTTTGTGTTTCAATCTCTATTTGTTTTTTGTTTTCTGCTTATTGTCACTGTAATGTAAAAACAATTTAATTGGACTGTCACACTCTGATGCCCTCAAAAACCTTACTTTTATGATTAAGGGTAAATATTCTACTTTTGATAAGATATAGGGGCATTTTATGACATTTCTAGAGGGGGAGAAGTCTACAGAAGGCTATTTAATTTCTTGAATGCAACATAATTATGCACATTTTCTTTCCTCTTTCTTTCCTGTAGACTGTTGATACTTGTACAGGTAGCATTTCTGATTGTTTATTTTGAAAAGTACTCATTGTATTGCCCTGTCGTAGCAGTTGATATTAAGATGATGCCTGACTGTGAATGTTATATTCCGTACCTTCATACTTGTTTTTCTGTTGTTGTTTTTGATGTAATATTTGAAGTATAATAAAAATCCAATAGACACACTTGTTTAAAAAAAATCAGAAATAAAAAGTAAAAATTTAAGAAGGTTTCTATCTCAGTACGGCACACGTATACTCGCAGCAGAGTCGTCTGTAGTGGTTTATTTAATGTGTGAACATGTTACCTGTAGTATGTGTCGAGTTGTTTTGTAACCTCACTCGTGTGTTATGAGTCATTCTGTCTGTTGTCGTTCAGGACCAGCAGAGGAAATGAGTTTTTGAGGTGTTATTTGTGTTTATTATCTGATTCTAACAGGAAGTTCTGATGACTGGATTCAGATACATGTCTAACACACTGGAAGATGTTTATGGTAAAAGTATATCAATATAAAGACTATAATAAAGCAGATGATATTAAAGGGAACCTTCATACAAAGAACTGTGTTTGTCCTGATTTCTTAAATAGTGTCATAAAATAAAAATCACACAATATTTTGCCTCCTACAAACAAAAACAAAAATCAATGTACATTTTTACAGCTTTGGGATGTCATGATCTTACTATTATAGAAATGCAAAACTGAAAAAGCTCACTAACACTTTTGTATTTCAGTTCTACAATTTACCACATCTCCTCCACACGACAACAGCAGTCTGTCTAGTGGTTGCAACACATCCTTGATTTGCTTTTCTGAATTCCAAAAATGTCCCTAATGTCTTTCAACATGCAGCAAACCCGCCAAAGCCAGAGGAGTTTCCTGTCTCCACGAGCTGAGGTGTAGACAGTAGCCATTACAAAATGCTCTGACATCCTGCACATTAAAAACCACAAAGCAAAGGAAGTTGTTGCTGTTTATACATAGCAGCTGGCGTGTCAGAGGCAAGTGCACACTCCTGTATTTTAACTTATTTTTACATCACTTTTTATCCAAAATAAAACAGAAATCAACTTGGGTTTTTATTGCACAAAATACAGAGGACTTGTTGGGTCATTACTGCTGCCATACACACCTTTGAGCTTTCTGTGAGCCCTCTGAGACAGTGTTCATGTGTTTTGGGAGGTTTGCCTATCTTTCATGCTGCACCAGCTTCCTGATTCCAGCCCTGTCTCTGTCAAGGCAGCCACGCTCCCTGCCGCTAAATGAGGGAGGAAATCCCTTAAGAGCGTTTTCACTAACTATCTGAGGAAGAGCAGGAAACTTGACCGTGCGGCCTCGCTGTACCCACATTACCACCAACATCAGCACGGTCCATTCCAATTAGGAGATAAATCACTGTGGTGTTGTGTATCATCATGTGTTTATGGCAGTAAACCCACAGGAGTCAGTAAGGACATACCAACACTTCCCCTTATACAGACCGTACAGATGGAATCATCTGAAGCTGATCTTGAACTTGTAACTTGTCTCATGTCATTTGTATAAAACTGGCTCCTTTGTGTATCACACTCATTCATAAGGTTCATTAGACCAAAGGATAAGGCTGGTTTTATTCTAGAGTTTTATCAAATCAACAAATCACAGACTAACAATTCTGTCACAGCGTATGAACTCTTGAGTTATGGCCAGAAACAGGTCTTGCATGCTGAAGTACATGTACAGGTACATCAGTGGACAGGTGCACTGGTGCATGTGTGTATATACAAACACATAGGTGTAGATATGAACACAACATACATATGGGTACATGTCAGCATATGTGCATGCACGTGTACAGAGATAAGTTATATTATTTAATGTATAAATATGTGAATAGTGTATGAGCTACTAAATCTTATTAGTTACTACCTTCAACTATTAGTTAGCCCACATCTCTTCCACTGTTCAATTATTTATTCCTTTTTTCACTATCGCTTTTATACTGCGGATGTATTGGTTGTTTATACCATTTTCATTTTTCTTAATTTATTTTCCCCTTAACTTCGACGGAATGTTTTCTTCATAATGAAGTGCAAGCTAAAAAGCATATGAAAACTGGGCTGGAAAAAAATAAAGTTTAAAAGAAAAAAAAAAAGTCCTGCGAGGTCAGAGTTGGTGACCTTTAATCACCAAATTCTAATCAGTTCATCCTTGAGCCCAAGTGGACGATTTGAAGATTTGAGAAATTCCCTTTAGGTGTTCTTGGCTATTGCGTTTACAAGAATGATGAGGACACAAGGTTGACCACCAAAATCTGATCAGTTTCTTGTTGTGTCCCAGGTGGATGTTTGTGCCAAATTTGAGGACAATTCCTCAAGGCCTTTTTGAAATACTGCGTTCACGAGAATGATCCGGACGTAAGGTCAAAGTGACCTTTACCTTTGACCACCAAAATCTGATCAGTTTCTTGTTGAGCCCAAGTAGACGTTTGTGCCAAATTAGAAGAAATTCTCTCACGACCTTTTTGAAATATCATGTTCATAAGAATGATCCTGACGCAAGGTCAGAGTGACATCGACTTTGACCACCAAATCTCATCAGTTTATTGTTGTGTCCCAGTGGTTGCCGGCGCCAAATCTTAAGAAAACTTCTCAAGGCCTTCATGAAACATTTGAAACATTGTGTTCAGGAGAAAAATACGGACGCAAGGTCACAGTAACCTTTATCTTTGACCTTTAACCACCAAGATCTAATCAGTTTATTGTTGAGCCCAAGTGGATGTTTGTGCCAAATTTGAAGAAAATTCCTCAAGGCCTTCTTAAGACAACACGTTCATGAGAATGGGACAGATGCTCATAAGTACGTGCAGACAGACAGACAACCAGAAAACATAATGCCACTGGCCACAGCTATCAGCGGCGCTGAGGCATAAAATCAACTCCATTGAGTCCATATGAAATTCATAGGTGGCAGAAATTTTTGGCAGGTGTCAGACCTTAAAGTATTTGATACAGTGACATGAATCAATAATAATAAGTCATATTTTAAAATAAGGATAGACTGATATATCAGGCCGATATTTGAGTTTTTTATTTGTATCGGCATCGGCCGATACGCGGGTGGGTTCGCGGATTTATTTTTCCCTGGCATGATTTACAGACAGGCATCCACGGGCAGCTCTGTGTTGCCGGAAGACCCTGCAGCGCACATGCAGCGTTACACCTCCCCCACTGGTAGAGTGGTGAAAGCAGCCCTGGAAGCTGCTTCAGGACAACGGTAAGTTTTAAACTTTCAAAGCCTCTAACTGTTAAACAGTATCGGCCCCAAATATCGGCTCAAGAAAATCGGCAGTCCATAATCGGTCATCGGCTAAGGGTGATGGAAAAAAATCGGTATCGGCATCGGCCCTAAAAAATCCATATCGGTCTATCCCTATTTTAAAAGGTGCCAAAAGTAAAGTAGGAGTCAATTTATATCAGATAAAATGTTAGTAGAGGTGTCAGTCTGTATTTATTCATCCGCTCAATCCTCCACAGGACACCTTTAATTCATGATTAGATTGTCATCACTCCTTTCTTACACTCTTCTTCCTTATTCAGTCTGTCTATCAGTCACATTTCGGCTTCACTGTAAAAATGAGTTCCCCCACACATGCATGCAAATACACAACACACACAGCCAGCAGTGTTAAGATAAAGAGGGCTGGGCTTGTTCCTCAACCCACTCAGCTCTCAGACCTTGAGCTTCATTAACGGCACCTCAGGTCACCGACCGGCGTCAAAGATTTCTGCTGATCCTTATCACCACTGCCCACCATGATCCTGTGCCTGCTCTTCCCCGTTCTTATCCTCGGTATGTACACAAATATTTTACATGTGGGTTTCAGGTTAATGATGTTTAACTCTGTTAGTATTTCCTGTTTTTTGGGTTTGCTGCATGTTTCCATGAGTGTCCATTGTTTTCTGTGTGTGTGGGATTAATGGAGGAAAAAGGTGGGGGGAATTTAGTTTTAGGAGTAGCTACAGAGAAAAGGCTGGTGTCAGAGTCTTTTAAATATGTGCTGGTATAATTCATGTAATGTGTGTTAAAAAGTTTTGCTAATCTGTGTCCACAGGTAATGTGGAGTCACAGACAGCCAATGTGACGGGACATGGAGAGCTGAACAGTGTTGAGGGGAATCAAACATTCACAGAGTCCAGCATGAACAACAGTAAGACACTTCTACCTACTACTATCTACCTGTTTATATACCCAATATCTGTCTATCTACTAGGAATGCGTGCTATTAGTCGTCTAAATGATTGAACGTCCGCCCCCTCGCTAGTCGGCACCAGAAATATTAGTTAGTTAAACCAATGAGTGTTTTAGCTGCCCGCCACTAGTGGGTGCTACAGAGCTGTCAGACAGCAGTCCCCCTCGCTGCGGTAATGCTCGAGTAGACTAGAGTTTTAAATTGGAGAGATGTCCTCTCATAAAACCAACGCAGTTTGGCAGCAATTTGATCTAGAACATGAAAACAAGGCAGCAATGGAGCAAAGCACAACCATATTCAACTCAAGCATTTGGATGTTGACCTGCATGGAACAACGGCTGCTGCTGCTGCTAGCGGTGCTAGCCACACTATGTTGAGCCTGAATACACCGTGCTGAGACCTTTTTGTAGACTAGTCAGCTTGTCTTAATTAAAATTTTTGATTAGTCAACAGGGAAATTAGTCGCCAGGAACATCCCTACTATCTACCCACTGCCAGATGATGTCATCAATATGCAAATGCCCACATGACATAATTTAGAGACTTTTAGTGACCTTTAGATTTAGTGCTTGCTGCTTTAACTGGAAAAGAGTTGGCAACACTGCCCTGAGGAAGAAATCCCAATTGTTTGTTCTGTTTGATCAACAATCCAAAATATTCGATCTAAAACCTGCGAACCGTCACATGTGACACCACAGCAGTCGGAACGAGTGCAATTTGAGGCATTTTGGGAAAAACAGTTACTCAACAATTGATAAATCACTTAAATTCCAGTTAATTATCTGACAATCCATCAGTGTAAAAATCTTTTTGTCAGATCATTAGTTTACTCTATCATATATGACAAAGACAAGCAGGAGATCCTGATATTTAGGAAGCTGAAACAAGAGAACATTTGGCATTGTAGCTTGAAAAATAATCGATTGATGAATTTATTTTCTGTCTAATAGTTTGACCTCAACACATGTGAATCGCTAATGTGATTAATGTGTTTTAGTAAGAGTATGCAGTCATTGTATGAATCTGACATCATTCAAGAGCTGCAGGGATTAGGCCTAGTCAAATCATCGATTAGTCAATTCCTCAAATTGATCGATAGAAAATGAATTAGCAATTATTTTCAAAATTAAATAATTTTAGTAATGTTTTGAGCAAAAAAATCAGACATTTGCTGGTTTAATGTTTCTTGAATGTGAGCGTTTGATGCTTTTCTTTGTCATTCATGACAATAAACTTGTATAGCTTTAGATTTTTGGATTGTTGGCTGCATCACCAAACATGGAGAATATTGCTCAGATTTTTTTTTCCCCCTGCAGGTACAATGATAAAGACCAACGTGACATACAGTTTGTACAAAGATGAGACAAGTCTAATTGAGGTTGAACTGCAAAACAACCAAACTTCTACCGTTATCACAGAGGATGATGGTGAGTTTTTCTACTTATTCTGCATGATGAAGGGAAACTCTGCATCCTTATCAGTGCCTTTAAATTTCCTGTACTTCAGTAAATGCTTACTGTGCAGCTGAAAACTGTGTGATAAGGTATCGGGAATCTAGTTTCACTTTTAGGTAAAAGCCAAGATAAAAAAAACACATGGGCTGCTGAATGAGCTCATAACTTTATAAAACCTGAGTAAATTCAAAGAACATGTACAATGAATAAAACAGCTTATCACATAAGTGTAATCAGTGTAATAAATACACAGTAGGAGCTCACACAATGTAGAGAAAAGTAATATTCTCACATCTATTTCCCTTTTTAAACACAGAAATACAACTGGACACCTGTTGCTCTCTGACTAAACTGACACTGCCTTACTCACCTTGTTAACTCACACTTGTTTCAATCTCAACAGAAACTAAATCAAACACACCAAAACCGGCACAATTACTCCTGTTACTCATCCAGCGAGTTACTCCACTGTTCCAACAATCACCAGCTCTGGTTTGGTTAAAATAAACCCCATAATTAACTTAGTCAGATGTAAAACATGCCGTTTTTCCCCACGGTCTCTTTCTGTCATTGCTGGCACCAAAACACAAGAAGTTCTGTGACAACGCACACACGCTGCTCACACAGTCAGTGTGGCCCAGGCCTTATTCCTACACAACTTGGTGTCAAGGTGTTGTTTAGCTGAGCTGCCTGTTCATCAGTAGAGACCACAGACTGACCTCTGGTGGCGCATGCTGTGCACTAGGGCTGTAGTCTCCTGGTCAACTAGTCGATTATTTGGTCGCTATGCTCTCCCCCGACCAAATTCTCATTAGTCGAATAATCGCCGTGTTACTTTCATGAGGAGAAAAGTGCTACATCAACAGCTTTCCAGGATTAATCCATTATTTCCTGTGGCGGGGGGACAGGCTAAGTTACCGGTGAAAATGGGGGTGTTTTCAAAACACCCCCATTGTTGACAGAAAGTTGAACTCGCCCACCCTCACGCTCAGCGCCGCGGTGACGCAGACCTCCTGTCTGTCTCTGTAAGCTGACACCATTTCCCTCAGTGGAAACGAAGCTTGTATTTACTTGTATTTCACAGATAAGAAACAATAAATTGTGAAGACAATAAAGCCTCCACTAAAATAGCATTTTAAGTCTTGCATGTGATTTATCCTTCAGGGATTTATACTCCAGGATTTATCCTGGCTTCATATGAGCAGAGGAAATCTCCGCTCGTCGCTAGGCTAATTTATACAATGTAAAATGCCATAGGCTTGTGCTAATAACGTTAGCATGTTGTATTTGCTTGGAAAACTTTTTTAGTATAAGACAGTTGTTTTGTCGGTGAATGTTGTGAGTTGTAATGGAGCCAAATTATGTGCCGTTACCTTTGTTACATGTTGCTGTTGTCCCTGGTTTTATATGAGAAGAGGAAAAGATCGCTAGACACTAAGCTAATGTATACAATGTAAAATGCCATAGACCTCTAATGTTAGTAGGGTGACCATATTTTGATTTCCAAAAAAGAGGACACTCGGCCGGCCACAACATAACCTACTTAAATGATACTTGCAGTTTACTCAAAGATGCCTTATAATTTTAATATATTTAAAATTTATATGTATGGATAGAAAATTCAGTTATATTACAAAACAATATCTCTCAAAGACAGAAATTCAGATAGGCCCCAATAGGGGACACATACACACACTAGAGTGTGGCGATCCGAGTCTGGCGGTACCCGACGGGTCAGGCCGGGTATGGTCAAAAATGTAGCTATAAATTGTATTCGGGCTCGGGTTGGATTCGGTCAGCTTTCAGTGAAAATGTAGTGTAAAAATAAATAAAATCCTATTGTCTGTCCTGTTTATTGCTTGGGCACTGTTATTTACGTGACAACACCTGAACATAACACACACAGACACACATTGGCTGTTTGTTTCTACCTCTCTCCTCTCTGGAAGCATCGGACCTCCAGCCGCCCACCTCTGCCTTGATTAAACGCTGAAAATAAAAGAGGGAGACAGGTTTTTCATATTTTATCTTATTTTGTTTTATTTCTCCCTCTCCTCTGGCTAGAAGCGTCGGACCTCCCGCCTCCCGCTCCCGCCTCCCGCTCCCGTCTCAAACACAGAGGTCTCCCTCTCCGCAGCTGAGCACCCACGGCGCACGCCTGGCCTGTTAAATAGCCTGTAACCACTGTGTGACACAAACTCAGTGCTTTGGTCATTAAATACTGTCGACTCGGTTCGGGTTCGGACAGAAATATGCTGCCCGTGCCGCACTCTAACACACACACAAACACACGGAAAACCAGACATTATCATCACTTTATAAAAAACCCTCGGACGCCCCGGACATCCCGGATGCCCTGGACGGGACGTGAAAAGTGGACATGTCCGGGCAAAAGAGGACATTTGGTCAGCCTAATGTTAGCATGTTGTATTGGTGGAGAAAATGTGTCCAGATAAAGACAAGTGTTTGTCTGTCAGTTCTGCAATTTATAGTGAAGCCAATTTGCATACTTGTGTTTGAAACTGTCTCTATTAAGCCATATTTAATGTGTGTTTTGAATCAACTATATAAATAAAGTTTGATTTGAACTAAACTGTACAGCTCTTAACACAGTCCTCTACCGCAGACTAGTGTTTTGGAGGTATAACTGCAGAGTGACACAGACACACCACCGCAGAAGTAAAAATAACGTGCAGATACTTTTTCCCCACGACTAATCGATTAGTTGAAGATTATGTACGACTTTAGTCGACCAAGATTTTCTTTGGTTGACTACAGCCCCACTGTGCACGACATACATGAGTTAGAGTTAGAGAAGCCGTCGTGATGCTGCCCAAGCCTAATATCACAGGAAGTCTATGATATATTTCATTGATTCTACACAGTATAACTTCCACACAGTGTTTTTCTTTTTTATATTTGTGTGTCCTGTTAGTTCGTGTATGCCAGGAGTAATTTTTTTTTACTTTGCAGAGGATTTTCAGGAGCAGGAAAAGAAGCATCCAGGCAGACACTGCCAGGAGGACGTGCTGGTATTCTACAGTTACAACTACTGTGGTGCAATTTTTGACATGGAAATGTCGTCAATCAGCAAAGACAACTGGTGTGTCTTGGAAAATATTCTCAGGTAAGGCACACTGAGCATCTACAAATTAAAGTGGGCTTTAGGCTTGGGATGCATCAAGGTATTACAGTATAGCGGGGTATTTAGAAATCCTGACGGTATGATTTTTAATACAGTCAAAAATACAGACACTCCTCTTTCTATTAAACTGATGCTGTTTTGGGTTGATGTATGTAGTGCACAGCACACTCCACTAGAGGTCAGTCTCTAGTAGTGGAACAGGCAGCTGAGCTGAGAAGGATGGAGACAGTGAGTGATGGGGATAATGTTACGGGACTGGTTAAATGAGAAAAATGCCTCTGCCCGTGTCTGGGAGTATTTTGGGTTTGGCACCGATGATAGAAGTGAGCCACCCAATAGAGATGAAGCTCTGTGCACACTGACACAACCACACACACACACACACACACACACACACAGTTATGTCATTCAAATCAGAGTCAGCCATCTCATACAAACGTTTTTTTTGGTGATGTTTTTTCCATATAAAGTTTTATGGTTTAACCAGGGCTCAGTGGGACGTTCAGAGTGACAGCAGCTTTCATGTAATATGGTAAACAAGCTAACAGCGCTAACAACAGATCGGAAATGTGCAACAACATTTTTGCCAACACCAGATATCAAACAAAAGCCAGAGATTGTGTCTTATTAAATATCTGTGAGCTGTTTAACCACTTCAAAGCAGAAGAAAGAAGATAATGTTATCCCAGAGCCTTGTGGTGGAAAGTTTCTCCTCCTTTGTATCTTTGCATCATGTCTGCAGCTGTCTGTACCAAAGAGTAGTGTGGAAGTCAACAGCACTCACTCTGCAGCCGAATCTGGGGACCACAATGTCCCCAGAAGCTCACTGCACAGCAATGAAAGGAAAATGTGTCACATATGAGTATAGAAAAACACTGTGGAAAATTACAACGGGCTTTTTTTTCCACAATTGTCTGACATTTATAAAAAAAAAAAACACAAAGTCAATGAATCGAGAAAATAATCACCACCTTCATCGATAATGTGAATAATCGTTAGTTGTAGCCCATAATATGTCAGTGTCCTAAATAACAAATACACACAGTGCTAGAAAAGTTACTCTGTCAAGGTACAGATCAGTACTGAATACTACAAAAATGGAACACTAAAAAACAGTTTCAGATTTAAGGGTTTTTGTTCACTTCATAAAACATCAATGCACAAATCAAATACACGACTTACTGCACAGAGTCGAAACAACATGAGCAGCATACACACAAAAAACAGCCTGCAATGCCTACCGGTGATTGAGGGGTAAAAGTATTGATACCACAGTGCAGAAATACTGTTACAAATAAAAGTCATGCATTTAAAATTTTACTCAATATCAATATTCAAAGCAAAAAAAGCAAAAGTATTCATTATGCACATTTGGCCCATTTCAGATTAAAGCAGGAAGGTAAACTTATCTTGCTTTGTCCTGGGGCCACTTTTGCAAAACGACAGGAGTCCGTCAGCAGCCTCTAACAGATATGGCATACATGGGGGGCATTTTAAGGTAGTACAAAAGTACAAAAAAGTACAACAACAAAAAAAATCACAGCTTGAATCAGTTTATTTTGATTTTGATTAGAAAATGGTTTGGGGGCCTCCTGGCACCCTATGCAGGCCAGATTTGGCCCTCACGTTGTATGTTGAGTATCACTGAGGTATACAGTATTGTATTGTTAGATTGTTGATGCAATAATTTGTACACCACTTTCATATTGTCGCTGTTATATGTGCTAATAAATAAATGTAATAAAAATATGACATAGTAATCAATACATTCCTTCATATTCTGCTGGGTAGCTTATAAATTTCCCCCCGAGGATTCAAAGTCTTATCGATATAATAGCCTAATATCATTATTTATTTGTTGATTATATTTTTTATTATTAATCTGAATCAATAAAGTTAATAAAATATATAAATATAGTGCAGTAAAAACAGGGGTGGGAATCACCAGAAGATCCACTATGTGATATTATCATGATACCGATTTTAAATAATGCAATGTGCTGAGTACTGCGATAAAATATATTGTGATTTATTACTTTTTTCCAACTGTAAATTATGTCCCCAAAGGAAAGTTTATCAGTTTTATCTAATAAGATTAAAGAGGCAACAGATAGCATCTTTTCCTAAATATATCATGATGAAAATAATGTGAGTTGCACAGGGTAGTGTCCACAGTAAAATCAGACCATCAGCGTTTACATAGGTTACTTTTAGTGGCTGTGCAATAAGCTTCTGCCACTGGTGCCAAAATTTCGCGGAAAAAATCTTCTTTACAGCAGGAAACGTGTCATGTATTGCGAAATTGGTCGGTCAGCCAATCCGGGACTGGAGCTGGTCCTTATGAGGAGTTGGGCATGAGATAGTTGAGTCACAAGCACAATGGCAGACGGACAAAGTTTGGAGACAAGTGAAAAACGGCCTAGCAAAAGAAAAGGAGCTCCTCTGTGTGAGGAGGCAAAGAAGAGCAAAAAGGAGAGTGATAAAAGAAGAGGAAAAACAAGAGTAAACCTCAGTCAGGCGTTCAAGAGATGGAGGGAGCTCCGTGACCAAAGAGGCTTCAAAACCCATGTCCAGCTAGCTTTCTTTCTAATGGATCAGTAAGTAACACGGCTAAATGTTAGCTAGACCAGAGAGGACTGTACTGTACTGGCTGCTAGTTCATTCCTAGCTGGCCAGCA